TCGTTTTTTTCTTTTCTGGTTCAAGAGATTTTGCTAGCTTTCCAATTTAGAAACCGTTATGTTGGCTATGATGCCTGAAGATCTGAAAGCAGGCGGTTACTGCGACACGTATACTCACTGCGAAATTCATCCAGCGATGATTCTTGGAGTTTGCGCCTCCATTATTCCCTTTCCGGATCATAACCAAAGTCCGAGAAACACGTACCAAGTTAGTTCTTTTGATTGCCGTTTTTTAAAATTTCCTCCGGGTTGCAGAGACCGAGTAGAGATTTTTTCATGTTTATATGGCTACGATTTTTCAGAGTGCTATGGGTAAACAAGCTATGGGTGTTTACACCACAAATTTCCATGTTCGAATGGACACGCTAGCTCATGTTCTATATTATCCACAAAAACCGTTGGTTACGACGAGATCTATGGAATATCTCAGGTGCGAAAATAGGGTTGAATAGTTTTGCATGCTCTCTTATCACTGCTGTTTCCAGGTTCAACGAGCTTCCTGCTGGCATTAACGCCATTGTTGCGATTCTTTCATATACTGGATACAATCAAGAAGATTCCGTCATCATGAACCAATCAGCTATTGACAGAGGATTCTTCAGATCGGTTGGTCTCATGCTTTTTTATTGTTGTTGTCGTTGAAGTGGTGGTATATCATAAGTTTTGACTAGGTGTTTTATCGTTCTTACCGTGATCAAGAAGCGAACTTGGATGGCGCGAATGAGGAGCTTATTGAAAAGCCGACAAGAGATAAATGCTCTGGGATGAGACATTCTCTTTATGATAAGGCATGTGAACAAAATAAGATTCCTGTTCTTACCAGATCATATTTTAGCTGGACGACGACGGAATCATCTCACCTGGCATGCGTGTTTCCGGAGATGATGTGATTATAGGGAAGACAGTTGCGCTTCCTGAAGTTGTACGTTTTGTGATGTTAACTTTATTTTCTATTTTCGTGCTTGTATGCTCCTTCCAGGACGACGATTTGGATGCAAGCAGTAAGAAATACACGAAAAGAGATGCATCAACATTCCTTCGCAGCTCTGAAACTGGTATTATTGATCAAGTGAGAGACATTGATCACTGCTCTTCACAGAATTACTTCTTCTTTTTTAGGTAATGGTATCACTAAACACCGATGGAAACAAATTTGTGAAAATCCGCGTAAGATCAGTGAGATTGCCTCAGATCGGAGACAAATTTGCATCCCGACACGGGCAGAAGGGTACTATGGGTATTATGTACAGGCAGGTGAGCTGTGCGGATTGCTTTTCCTTCGTTTAATTTTATAGTCTTTAAATATGTAAATCTTGACAATTTCTAGGAAGATATGCCGTTCACGTGTGAAGGGTTAACACCAGATATTATTATCAACCCTCATGCAGTTCCTTCCCGTATGACCATCGGTCACTTGATTGAGTGTCTTCAAGGAAAGGTGAATTTCAAATCATACTTCTTTAAATAAAACCTTTTCAATGGATTTCGTTTTGTTGTGTAGATATTCAGTCAGTCTTGTAGAAAAGAAACCAACGTCATAGGTATATGCGGGATTTTTTTTTTCTAAAAAAAGCTGCTCTCCTTGTATTTTGCGATGGTTGTATTCGAAACAAGATTAGCCTTTTTTAAAGCAAACTTTGGTCAACATATTTTATTTATTTTATTCTTGTACTTTTGTAGCTTATCGAATTTTTCCCTGTTCCGCTTATTAGATTATCAAGTATTTCCATATGATCTTAGCTTGGTAGGTTATGTTGGTTACATCATTACTCCTAGGACTTGGATTTCAACTGCTCCTCCATTTTTAGCTTTCTGCCAATAAGGGTGAAATTGGGGATGCGACACCTTTCAACGACACTGTGAATGTGCAAAAGATCAGCAATT